TTGAAACTTATGTGATGGAACACCAAGTGTGCTTCTCTTCGTTGCTATATTAACACCCATGAGCTACCTGCCGCTCTTGCCTTCGGTTGTATCGACAACCGATTCATCACTGTAGCATACAACATCATCTAAGATGTTTCCCATTCCGATTCTTGTCATATATGACAGTTTTGTACACATATACAGTTTTGTGGTTTCAGTGGCATTACCTCAGGCCTGTGGCAAGGAACGAAGCGTCAGCGCCGTGCAGAGAATAGGCTTTGCTACTTCGACGACTAAGCAACTTCCCGTGCCACGTTCGAGGAAAACGTCAATATCTATGAAACACATGGCCACTATGCTGCTATCTTTCATTACTCACGGATATCGCTGACTTCTTTCAGCCTCCAGTGACCATTAATGAGAGTCCGTTCCAAATAAGACTGATTTCTATTACTGATGTTTACGTTCCACTATTGTTTATTAGTGTTACTGTGTAAATGTGCGTTTCTGGTTCTTTAAATTCATTCTGTAATTGCTACTTAAGTGTCCCCTGAAGCACACGACAAGTAATCATACTATACAAAAACAGAAAAATAATAACATATGTTAATCAACGAAAAGCATAATGGAGTCAAAACTGTCACATCTTCTGTTCTTAATTAAGGGGATCGATTAAGCACCTAAATGTAACAGATGTAACCGATTTCCTGCAAACCTCAGTGAGTAACTTGATTATATGGACAGATTGTTGAATAAGCACGTTTTTGGGCATCGGTATAAAGAATGGGCTGGGTAGGTCAGGATCGATCTTGCTCGGCGAAACTGTTGTGGTAATCAGATTCTTTATCGGGGTAGTCACAAATGTCTCCAATACGCAGTTGCATACACGGCGCGGTAATTTTATCCGGCGTCTGACAAAAGTAATACGCAATCTACTGTGAACTCTTTCAGCAGTTCTGGCCATATCCATAGCCTCTTCAAATGACACAAGCTCAAGTCAAGAAGGCGTATTTGGCTGATCATGGCGCTTAACTCAGGTTCCCAACTAAGACTCTCATCCACAACTAAGCAGAGGTACCTACATAAAGTGCTGGGTTTTTGAAATAGATGTCGAAAAACTGCGTTCTTTACTGGAGGAACTCCATACTGAAAATTGGAAATAGTTTGCAATTTCAGTTATGTTTACATAACTAACAGTTTTGTAGTTTGAAACTGAAAACTTTAATTCAATATACCAAATTATACCTTCAACATCTGTTTTGAATATCTTCTGATACTTCTGTGATAACTGATGCAGCAAAATTCTTTCTTGAATCCTGAGCAAATGTCGCCACTTGTCAGCAGCCTGTAGTGGCGACACTAAATTCATGTGACGAGTGAAAACAGCGTCAATCGCTGTCTGCGGTTTTACTCGATCTATCGACGTCTGTCTGTGGCACTTAGGCGTCAATGACAGACAGGAAGTCCTATTTTTCTGTTTCGTTCAGCTTCTCTCATAGTAGAACATATTTTACTGCTCAGACAAAATACCTGTACAACTGTTTCTCATTTCTATACATGAGTGATGCATGAGACGGCTTGCTGTCTACAACATCAGAATCGTGCCCTGATGGTCTTTAGCGGAATGCGGAGGCAATGAATTTCCAATATCTGTTATTTTGAGCGCCTTAACCGTGAAGTACCGACAAAATGCAATTTCAATAACGGGACCAGAATCAGAAACATCGTATGCCATATGTATGATATATCATATGTCATATGTAAACTGTACGTAAATAGTCATCAACGAAAGCTACGGCAAACAAGGTACAAGGGTAAGGCAGGGAAGTGACCGGAAGTGTGGCGAGCATTGTCGTGAAACGCGTCGGTAAATAAAATAAAATTGGCGTCGCCTCGAACCATGAATCGAGGAACAAAAACCTTTTGAGGTTATTCAAATGAACAAGAGACTAAAATGTTCCTCAATATCTGCCAGTGATTCGTCGGTAGATCAGAGGACTCGTAACCGACAGACGTAGAGTTAAAGCCTCGGTCAGGTCACGCGCTTTTCCTCCTTCCGTGGTTGATAAATGAGTACCACTTGGTGGCAAAGGAACAGGATGCTACAAACGCTATAGTGGTCACTAGGCTCTACATATAACCTTTAAAAAAGAACAATAGGGCACACCTGACTGATGATACGGAAACGGATTTCAGAATCGCACTAATTCGTGACAAACGGGGTGCGACAAATGGCGGTCACTAACGAACGTGTAAAGGGAGATCAACATTCTAACTGCCTGGTAAAAAAACTAATTGATCGGCCTTGATTACACGATTATCACCGGAACATGAACTCAACAGCTATGTTACAGTAAAAATCTCTATTTAATATCGCCTAATTGAGCCACTAACTCTGAAAATTCCGTCAGGCCGGAAATATCGACTTTTAATAGAGTTGAATTATGGCAGATATATTCACACAGGTAGATCAGGTAGACGCGTTGTGTGGCATGATCGACATGCAACGACATAACGAATCCTAAGTAGCTAGCAGTGCAACGCGGTTAAAGATGCTGATAGCATAACAACAAGAAACGCAGTTGTGCGACATACATTTACAAGGCTATGCTACAAATTACGATTGCGTAACCAGTATCTTGACCCCCCCCCC